GAGAGAGAGAGAGAGAGAGAGAGAGAGAGAGAGAGAGAGAGAGAGAGAGAGAGAGAGAGAGAGAGAGAGAGAGAGAGAGAGATGGAAACACAGAGAAACAGAGACAGAGAGTTGACATTTCGCTATGTAGACCAGGCTGGTCTCTAACACTCTCTCAGTCCTTCTGCCTCCAGCTCCTGGGTTTATTTTGTTGTTGGTTTTGACTTTCTTTTTTGAGATAGGGTTTCTCTATAGCTTTGGAGCCTGTCCTGGAACTAGCTCTTGTAGACCAGGCTGGCCTCAAACTCACAGAGATCCGCCTGCCTCTGCTTCCCGAGTGCTGGGATTAAAGGCGTGCGCCACCACTGCCCACTGGTTTTGACTTTTTAAAGATGAGTTCTCTCTCTGTTGCTCATGCTACCATACCTGGCTATCCATGTAATTTTTAAACAGTACAATAAACCCAAACAATCTTTTTCTCTCAGAAGATAATTTCCAATACATGTGTTCAGTAACTCAAGATTCACATCACGATCAACATACTTACAGGATGCTTGAGTGTGCAGAGCTCGTATAAGACACATCCAAGAGACCAAATATCCCTGGAGAAGAGAAGGGTTTACATGGCCAGAGAATGGCAACAATTACAGGCGGAAGCATTTGCCTCTCGTATCGCTTTATGTGGGTATAGCTTCATTTAATTAGGTTGGTATGTTTTCACAAGTGCTTTCAGACACCTTATCAATTCTAAGATAAAAATTAAGATATGAATCGTTTGAAATTCTTCGGAATCCTGGCAGACAACAGGTAAACAAACATTGCCACAATATGATAGATGAGTATTGACTTCATGTGCCCAAAGAAAATGTGTGTTCAGTGCCTTTAGAGGAGAAAGGCAAGCCTCGACAAATAAAATTACATGATAGTATAGTCTCAACGAACACAGGACTTGAATTTTGCTTTTTTCCATGCTTATTTAAAAACTTATTTAATGTCATACTAGGGATTAAACCTAGGGCCTTGAGCATAAAGCAAGCAATCTCCCACCCATCCACCCCCCCCAATCCCTGTTAGTAACTATAAATATATGATTGGTTTAAGGAATCATTTTAAAGAATCAAAAGTACAATTAAATCCAAAAGGCAAGAGGATGAGATGTCAAGGAGGTTGCCAAAGTGCCCAAACAAGGATTCAGTAAAGAAAAGTAGAATGGGGCAGAGGTGTGGTTCAGCGGCAGGCCACCTGGTGATACAGGTAAGAGGGAGCCACTTGTCTGAAGCATGGTGCAGGTGGTAAGCTCGGCTGGACTCACTATTGGTGTCAATGGTAAGTTCAGAAGTGCCCTGTCTAAAGTCATTTTCCTTAGGCAGAAACACTGAGGGATGGGGCAGCTACTAGACTCACCCTCGCCGTCCTGGATTCCTTGAGCAAAAGGATTTTCAGTCAAGTAGCCAGCTAGCCCACCCACATCCAACTCCATCCATCTCAAATACCCCACACATGGCTGGAGAAGACCTCAAAACTGTCTTGCCTTGGCTCTTGAAGACACGGTCTGGGCTATTGAAAAGTTTATACTAAGTTGTTTTTATGTCAGAAGCCTAATGAACTCGGAGTGATCCTCCCAGAGCGGTGCTGGGCAGACACACTGGGCTTAGTGCAAACACTCCTCTGGCTGTGTAAGCAGGCTGATCAGATTTCCACCTAGTCACCAGGAGACATCTCCTGGGCTGCTCCAGGGTTCTGCAACACCACAATAAAAGACTTTCCTTGGGTAGAATTTTCTTGTTTACTTTTCCCCCATCTTTCATTAGTCATTATTAATTTTAATAAATTGTAATCAAATTAATCATGTTCACACATACCCATTCCTCCCAGATCTACTGCTGGAAGAAGAGTCAGTTTCCTTTCAGGTGTGGCCCCCGCACACCCCCGTGTGTAGACCACCACCCTCTAGTGAGGTCACACATCCAGGAGTATATGGGAAGCGCAGGGTTTCTCTGTGTAGCCCAACTGTCCTGGAAGTCACTCTGTAGACCAGGCTGGCCTTGAACTCAGAGCTTCGCCTATCTCTGCCTCCCAAGTGCTGGATTAAAGGCAGGCGCCACCAGCATCTGGCTTTTTTTGTATTTTTAAATGAAGAGAAATTGCTTTGTCTTAAATAGGTCTAAAGTCTTTCAGGAATATTACTCACTGGAACTCTGATTTCACACAGAAGCAGAGGAAAATGCACACACGCCAGCAGCAAAGAGATTAGAACTTTAGGCTGTAATTCGCTGCCGCCCACTGGATGGACCGGCACCCTCCCACCAAGAGCAACTCACGTTTTGTTGTTGTATGGTCTGTTCTGACAAATCTCTGGGGACAGGTAGTAAGGTGTCCCAGCACATGTTTGAGCAAGTTCCATGGAACTAGGAAATTAGAGTAAATTAAAAAAAAAAATATGTCTTATTAGCAGAGTGAGAAAGGCTGAAGACATGACTATGCAAGGAAAATTGTAAACATGAACAAAAAAAGTGCACTCATTCACACACTGGAAGAAAGCAAGACATCTCATGTGAAAAACAGACGAATGAAGACAGCAGGTTTTGAACCTTAGAACTCAACCCCCAACCATGTGTGATGGATGATGCACGCCTTAACTCCCAACACCTGAGGGGCAGAAGCAAGCAGACCTCTGTAAGTCGGAGGCTAGCCTTGTTTATATAGTGACTTCTAGGACGGCCAGAGATACATGGAGAAGTCTTTGTCTCAAAAAACACAAAACAAAATCAACCTCCAAATGTATGCAGACACACACACACACACACACACAACATATATAGACACATACATACATATATGGAGAAAGAGAGAATAAGAAAGCCAGGCGTGGTAGCCCATAAGACTATATTTCTATTACAGGGAAGTGGAGGCAGAAGGATATGGTGTTCAAGGCCAGCCTCAGCTACACAACAAGTTAAAAGCTAGCCTGGGCTACGTGAGACCCTATCACACACACAAAAGTATATATGGGCTACAAAGGTGATTAAGAGCACTTGTTCTTCCGGAAGACCCAGGTTCAGTTCTCAGTACTCACACTGTGGCTCACAAATCATTCCCAACTCCAGTTCCAGCGGATCAAATGCCCTCTTCTGACCTCCACAGGCACCAGACATACATATGATGCACATGCATGCATGCAAGCAAAATACTCATGCAGATAAAGGAATCTAAAGATAAGTTAAAATTTATACACATATATTGCTATATATTTTTTAAAAATTGAAACATATCCCACGGCTAGGTATGTGAACGAGAGATTGCCCTGAATCATAGCAGTGCAAAATAGTAATAAGGATGCCAATAATAATAGCAGCAGCAGTAGTAGTAATTACATACATATTGGTTTTTTCAAGACAGGGTTTCTCTGTAGCTTTGGAGCCTGTCCTGGAACTAGCTCTTGTAGACCAGACTGGCCTCAAACTCACAAAGATCCACCTGCCTCTGCCTCCTGAGTGCCGGGATTAAAGGCGTGCACCACCACCGCCCAGCTAATAAATATATTATATATAAATAAGTACAGAATTCTTATTTAAAGATCTTTTGGGTATAATAAGATTTCTGTTTTACCAGCTACCCATGTAATGCAATTGTGTGTTCTTAAATCTGAAAAATACAAAAAGGAATTAGACTGGGGTGTAGCTCAATGGTAGAACACTTGTCTACCAAGTGAAAGACCCTGGATTAAAACCCCAAAACCATAAAGAAAAAAATTAGTGAATGAAAAATCAAGTCACCTCTAGTCAGAGTATCCCTAAAACCTATTGTGAAACTCATAAATTTCCTTCCCATCTGCTTCCACACCATTGTTTGTACACACAGCTGGCAACATGCTGTTTTGGTAGTTCACCATTCTGCTTTGCTCATGGCACAGAGCAAAATATTTCCTCATGATCCCCAGAAGTCCACAAATCAAGTACAGTACATTTAGAAATACGATTTTTCTCTGCTTTAGAACAGCCCCACCACCATTCGATTAGACACCATTTATCTTGTGAATTTTTTCTAATTTTACTCTCATTATTTATGTGTGTGCACATGTGTGTGTATGTGTGTGGGAGTGACCACAGAGGCCAGCAAAGAATGCCCTGGAGCTGGAGTCACAAGAGACACCAGAAGTGGGTGCTGCGACCAAACTCAGGTTCTCTGCAAGAGGAGCAAGCACTCTTAAGCTCTGATTCATCTCTGGAGACCCATAGCTTCAGAATTTACCACAGACAGTCAAATGATTCAACATTCATACATATTCACCTAAAATTGTGGGGATAAGAAACTTTTATTATCCTAATTAAAAATGCCTCAAAATGAGCACTTTGTCGATTTTGCATAGAAAGAAAAACAGAATTTTACAAGTACTTACTTATTCAGTGCCCTTGCCGTTCCAAAGTCCCCAAGCTTTGCCACCATCCCGTTCTTGCTAAGAAAAATGTTCTAACAGTGAAAAAAAAAATATGTTCAGGAAAAGAATAAGAGTTGTGGTGTCTTATTCATCAGTCTGAGCTATTACCTGGGATTTTATGTCCCTATGTAGTATCTTCCTGTCGTGAATGTGCTTCAGTCCTAGCGAAATCTGTACGAACCAGCACAGAATCTGCAGAAAGAAATAGAACAAATCTATAAACAGTCTGCTGGTCATTGACACAGCTTCATGGTGACATGAAAACAGAGAAATAATAATAGAAATTGATCTGATGGCTATAACACATGAATTCTGATTCATAGCCCAGAAAGATGCTTCAGATGTCATTGGTATTAATGTGAAATTTATATGTAGAAAGAGAAGAATAAAAGCCAGGAAGAGATGGTGGCCACTCAGGGCTGGCTGGCTGACTGTCTATCTGTCTTTCTATCTATCTATCTATCTATCTATCTATCTATCTATCTATCTATCTACCTACCTACCTATCTATCTATCTATCTATCTACCTACCTACCTACCTATCTATTTCTTTTTTTGAGCTGGGGTCTTCGTGGTGATTTGAATGGATTTGGCCCCCATAAACTCACAGGGAGTGGCACTATTAGGAGATGTGACATTGTTGGAGGAAGTGTGGTCTAGTCGGAGGAGGCTGGATGACACAAATTTTTAATCCAGACCTTGAGGCTAAAGGGCATGCCTTTAATCTGGGCAACACCTTCTGTTGGAAGTGTGTCACTGTGGGGGCGGGCTTCCATATACCAGATTTTTTATTCCACCCTAGCACTGAAAGAAATGACTTTTTTCTTTTTGTGATTCTGAAGTTCTGGTTTATTTCTTAGTCATAGGTATTTTATTTATCTATTTGCTTATTTAGTATTTAGTTTTCTGATACAGGGTATTTTGCTATAGCCCAAGCTGGCTTTATATTCACCGTATAGCACAGGCTAGCGTCAATTATGGCAGTCCTTCATGCTCAGCCTCCTGATGCTGAGATTACAGGTCTGTGCCACCACGTCCAGCTCAATGTTGTATTTTATATCAGCAGACAGGGAGTCACTTTAATGAAACGTTCTACACTTACAGAAATTCACTTAAAGAACTCTAAAACCCCACAAGTTCTTTGTCTGCCAAACGATACAGTAAGAAGAAAATAATATAAAATGGCCCATAGTCAGGTATTAGGGTTCAGTGAAGGAAATAATAAAAGATGGCCCATAGTCTAGGTATTAGGGTCCAGTTGACACCTTGGAATTTTTCCAACCAAAGAAAATGTAATCAAAATTTTGTCACAAAAAATCATTTTTATAAAACACAGAAAAATAATCCCTAAATAAGAAATACGTTTCTGTAAATGTAGACTTAACATATAATACAGGAATAGGGAGAATGCTTGACTGAGTTTACAGAAGTTTAAAGATATTGATTCTTTAAGCATCCATATATTCAAAATTTTTTTAGCTTTCTAGGAAGATATCACACATCTCTCTCAAATTGTACTACAGAGTTATAGTAATAAAAAATAGCCTGGTATTGGCAAAGAAACAGATGTATTGATCAACAAAATAGAATTGAAGATCCAGATGTAGACCACATACCTATAGACACCTGGTTTTTTTTTTTAATAAAGAAGCCAGAAATACATACTGGAAAAAAAAAGACCGAATCACCAATAAATGGTGCTGTTCAAGCTGGATGGCTGCCTGTAGAAGAATACACATGGATCCACACTTGCCACCCCACACAAAGCTTAACTCCAAATGCATCAAAACCTCAGCATAAGGCCAGACACCCTGAATCTGACAGAAGCAAAAGTGGGGAAGAGGCCTGAACTCACTGGCACAGGGAAGGACTCTGAATAGAACACAGACAGCATGGGCACTAATTAATAAATGGGACAGTTGATGAAATGGAAAAGCTTCTGCGTAGCAGAGGACACCTTTATTTGGACCAAGTGGCAGTCTACAGAATGGGAAATGATTTTCACCAACTGCACATCAAAAAAGGGTATTATCCAAAATATATAAAGAACTAAAACAAAAAAAAACCTGGATGTCAATAAAAACAAGTAAATTAATTAAAACATAGGTCTAAACAGAACTTTAGAAGTAGGCTTACCTGATCTTCACTGAATAACACTCCCCTCTGCCTCTGGATCCTCTGCATGAGATCCCCTCCGTCACAGTATTCCATTACAATAAAGAGCCTGTTATTCTCTGCAAAAAAACATTTGGTGCTGGAGCTTTTATCTATCGTTTGTCTTTCAAAACCCAGAACATAAAGAACATGACAGGAAAAAACAAGGCATAAGAGAGGGTGTGGCCCGAAGATGGACTGGGTTCTCATCTCGTTTGCATTTTTTTTTTTGTGTTTGGCCTCATTGAGAAAGGGTCAATTCTGTGTAGCCCAGGGAGTTCACACCAGTGGTCAGTCCGACTGGGTCCAGTCTCTCCTAGGAGACAAATCCCTGGGCATTTCTGTGAGGGTTTCTGGATTGGACTGACTAAGGAAAGAACCACCCTCAATGGAGACGGCACCATCCCCTGGGCGTAGAGCCCCTAACTGAGCAAAACGAAGGCGTGGGCACAAAACAATTGCTTGGAGCCATCAGCTACACAACCATTGGTTTCACGACAACAGAAACCAAGCACAACAGTGCAGAGATCTGTGTCTATCCTGTTCGACATTTTGAGCACTTGGTTCTAGAGCGTGCTTAGCACCTAAGAGTTAATATTTCCTGAGGGAAGTCGTTTTGCCTTAGGAAAAGATTACTAAATTATTATTATTTTTCTTTCACTGTTCCAAACTCATAAAACTTCATCTTTCATACTTGCCAGCTAATTCTTAGTAAATCAAAAGGATTAGCCAGGCAGCGTGACTGATGTAAACGTGGGCCTGGAAGTCAGGGGCAGGAGCAGTGAGTGATTTCCAGCCCCACTTCCTGCCATGTGGCGGAGCACAAAGTTTCACTTCTAGTCCAGAGCGGCCCTTCATTAACAGCCAGTAAGAAGGGGGAGCCGATATTAGATCATAGCTCCTGGAGTGAGAGATGAGCTGCCGTAGAGCCAGCAAAGCCTCTGTTTTCAGGTTCTCACAGTCAGGCGCCTCAAGACTCTGGGGTTCTTGACTAAGCCTGTGTTTTAAGAACAAACAAGCTGTCAAGCAATGTCCAGGCGGGAAGGAGGTCAATTATACTGTGAAGTGGCCTTAGCTGTGTGACTGTATCTGTCACAAAGTGTCTTCAGAAATCCACCATACATGGAACAAATGTATCCTCCTGTCTGTTTAAATCATCCAGTCCATTCATTCATTCAGCAACTGCAGTTGAGCATCTACCCTCTGCCACATGTGGAGGACCAACGTGTATATATATAAATCCCTAAGCCCATTAAATTAATGTTTACGTTTGTGTATGTGTTACTAGGCATAAAACCCAGGACCTCTTACGTGGTATACAATTATTCTACCACTGTGCAACATTCTCAACCCCTAAGTTTCTTATCTGAAGAAAAAAACAATAAGCAAATTTCTAATAATGTATATGTACAGATAGTCAAATGCATTGGTAGAAAAGTGCCCTGGGGGATAAGTGAAGGGACAGTGGCTTGGGGAAGCCTGAGAGTGAACAGAATTCAGGTAGACAAAGGATTTCAACTATAACTCACAAGATGAGGAAGAGAAAGATGGGAATAGTGGACAGAAATGCAGAGAACTTTATTCCCTGAGTGCCTTCAAAAGTTATTCAGAGTTCAGGGTGTAGCTCGGAGATAGAGCACACTTGTTCAGTCCAGTCGAGCTCAGGGCCCTGCCCCGAGAAACCTTCCCAGATCCCCGAGGGTTCCAATGCCTATCACTCATTGAAAAGGGTCATACAGAGCTGCTTTTAACTTAACTAATATTGTACAGGTTTTGAGATAGAAAGCCACTATCATACCACTGGTTAGCCAGGAACTCACTTTGTAGACCAGGCTGGCCCTGAACTGACAACAGTCCTTTGGCCTCTGCTTCTCCAGTGCTGGGATTGCAGGACTATGAGACCATGCCCGACCTCATAACTGCTCTGAATGCGGTGGTTTCTAAGCAGCAAAGAGCACTGGGCCTGCACACTATGAAAAGTTCAAGAAATAGTGGATGTATCTACAGACTTGCACGTTGCTTTCCACCCGCCCGGTGATACTCGGAGACGTCTAGGTTAACCCTTCTCTCTTAGTACCTACAGGATCTGGAGTTGGCAGTGATGTTCAACTACACAGTGCACGGAAGCTACAGAAGACCCTATTCAAAGGACAACACTCACCAGACAGGAACCAAAGACACAATTTCAGACAACAATTTAACTAGGCAGAGAAATGAACACACAAAATTGAATCAATACACAACTCATGGGGATACATATTTCCAAAGATCTGTAGTTTACTGGGATGCTTTAATGATAGGAAAATCTAACCTTGAAATGAACCAAAGAAGGTTACAATGTTGGGATGCCTCATCTGAGCCAGAAGGACCACTTCTTTCTTTGAAGCTTCTTTTTCCTGGAAGAACATCAAAGTGGTATTTCGAGACGGAAAGCAGTCAGTGTGCAAGCACGCATACATGCACGTAGTAAATACAGAAATCTTTTTAAGAGCTAAATATACCACTTAAAATTATCAGAAATTTGAACTTCTTAACTTTACCTTTGTAAAATCAGTCTCTTTTATGACACACTGACTGCTTTCCGTTTTCCGTTTCGCCAAGTACACTTTCCCATAGGCGCCTTCCCCAATGATCTTAATCAGGTCAAATTTATCCATTCTTTCAGGGGTCGGAGGTTCCTAAAATGAAGAAATAAACCTTCACTGTATACTTCTCATGACAACTAACGAGCAGAAGATGGATAAAAGGCAGAAGAACTGTTTGCTGAAACGTTCCACCCAGCTTTTGAGAGTCAAGAAATTTCCTTCTGGACACAGGAATGCCGTGAAAAGGGTTTGGTTGGTAGATTCCACACTGGATTGCCCGTCATCGTTGGGATCTTAGACGAGTTGCCACCTCACAAAACCTTTCTTCTCTAGCTTCTAAAATGGAAAAGTACTGAGGCAGGAGGATGGCAAACTCAAAGCCTACCTGAACTACTTAGAGCAATTTCAATACCAAAAGGATTGGGTCTAATCTCATTGTAGGTGTTTTGTGCCTCTAAAATGTCCAAGGGTGCCTGCAAGTCCAAGGGTTGGGGCAAGCACCTTTCTCCTCTTAGTGGAGGTACTGCCCTCTACAGGGAAGCCTAGGAATTTATTCTGTCAGTGTTTGGGGCTGCAGAGATGGGAGACATTATGGTAAGTTAAGATGAAGTTAGGGCCTGGGGTACTAGCTTTGACATTCAAAGGTCTTTGATCCCACACAGCGAGGGACGGCTGCAAAGTCACAGTTATCTGCCTCTAGAACCAAAGTATCACACGTCTATCTAAGTATCTCCCCGTGGATTAACTAGTACTTAATTTCCTAGGAAGATAAATCAGGGCTTGGTTGGATCCGGGGACTTTCCTACTAGTTGTGCTCCAATATGGGAAAAAAAAAAAAAACTGGTCTACTGAGCTGGAGTCGGTGGGAGGTCCAGAGTCTAGCAGTCGCGATCAGGGGACTGTCCTGGCACCTGGCTACAGGTGTTTACAGGTGGAAATACCACTTCCTTGTAGGTTGCCTTCCTTCTTTTCCCCTTTTATGCCACAGTTGGAGCATAACGGAGCTTTTTGTTTTGCTGTACTGGGGAATCGAACCCAGGACCACCGCATACATGCTGGGTAAGCATTCAACCACGGAGCTTTACAACTAATCCTTTTGGTAATGAAATTGCTCTAAGTAGTTCAGGTAGGCTTTGAGTTTGCCATCCTCCTGCCTCAGGCGCAATGCAGATTTCTACTACCCTGGGTGGTCTGCTGGGCAGGTTGTTTTCAAATAATTTCAAGTCATGGGTATAGAATTGTCAGTGGAGGCTCCGGCCAGCATGCGGGAGGAGGATTTGAGTCCAGGATTTTGTAGTTTGTGAGTTGCCATGGAAACTGACGCAGCCCAGGCAGTAGTCTCCTCCCGCTTGCCCAATCTCTCTCCCCTGCCTTCGAGAAGCCTGGGATAGCTCCTAAAGAACAAACACGGTGGGCTCGGCCTACCTGCTCACCGGACTTTGTGTAGTGAGTCTTTAAGTGTCCAGGTGGATCTGACCCCTGGCGGCTAAGCCTCCGGGACACTGGAGCGGGGGTTACCGTGGGGAAAGTAGGCGGAGCGCTGGGCGGGGGCAGAAGAAACCTACTGGTGCTCCTTCCACTTACCCGAGGTCGGAAGCCGAAAGTAAAACAAGCCACGTGAACGTCTCCAAACTCGCACGGTGTAAGAAGTAAGTCAGGGAAAGAAAACGAGAAGACTGAGTTCGACTTCAAAGCTGTGCGTGCACAGTTTTACTGAGAGGTTGGCACCCTGCCGCTCGGTGTCGGAGGGAGTTTTTATAGTGGAGAGCAGGGGGCGAGGAGAAACCGTTTCGAGGGCAAACTTTTCCAGAACTGAGGGTGCGAGATCAGTCAGAACTCTGCCTTGTTGCAACCTTCGGGTTCCGTGGCCCGATGTGGGTGGCCGTTTTCTAGACTTCGATGGGCAGCATCTTTTGAAGCCCACAGAGCTGGTTTCTGACTAGCGTTTTGCGCGTGGGAATGGGAGGGTTTCCAGTTCTCTGCTGTCTGCCACTTACAGAGGTTTCTGAAGAGTAAACAATGCTGAGAGAAAAAAACGTGCTGGTTGGGTTGTTGGGGGAGGCGGTGGCGATGATGCCTGGGGTCCCATACCAGCTAAGCAGCGTTCAGCTGTAATATATACTCCCTGAAGGAAGCAGGTTTCTCATGCAAGGTCTCAAATACTGCTGAGGGGTGTATAAGAATGGAACCTGGATCCACAAGCAAAACTAGGTGCTGCCCAGGTGTCTGCAAAAGGCACCCCCTCTTAACCCAGCTCCATGCTCTTAACCGAGCTCCATGCAGAACAGTGGGAGAATATACCTCTTTCAGGATGGTAAATGCTAATACAAGGGAGACAGCCAGAGCCAGTGGAATCTAAGTCCCATGACCATTTCACCATTTCATAACCCACCATTGTTTGACCCCCTCCCCCCAAAGCTCACTTCTCTTTTATCTACATCCTACTTCCTGGGTCAGAATTTTATAACAATGTAGTCTTTTAAATGCTTGAAGTCCTTCTTGATCTCCATGTTCTGAAAGAAACATATGGATGGAAATTAGCATTTCCTGCCTACAGAACCTAAGCATTTTGGGGCTTTTGTTTGTTTTTTGTGCACAGGTCTCACTATGTACCCTTGACTGACCTGGAACTCAGAGGTCCAGATGCCTGCCTCACCTCCCTGCTGAACTAAAGGTGTGTTCTTTTTAAAGCCTGTCGGGGTTGGCAGGTCTCACCCAAATAAGCAAACACGTGGAGTGTGGTTCAAAGTGGACATGGTCTGATTTCCAAGAGGATTTATAATCCGACTCTCCAGTGCTTAGTGAGATAAATAATTGTGCACATAATCCCAAATTTGCTTCGTCTGGAGTGCAACGTTTAGAGCCAGTGACTGGAGCAGATAAAGACGTGTGGAGGATGGTATGTGGAACTTGAGTGTCTTGGAGACCTCCTTGTAACTTTCATGCTTTCTTGAACACGAAACATCATCAGAAAAGTGCCAGGCTAACATTCAAGGGACGGACCTAAGAAGGATGACGCCAACCACGGAAACCACATACAAGCTCTGCTCACTAGCTGCTCACGGCAGCGAGGGTTAATGGTTTGGGCACGGCTTTGTGTGTGTGTACTGGTCTCAACATCTAAGTGGACGGCTGCAAACTGTGTTTTTCACCATCAGGGAAAACAGGTATAAAAAAAGAGCAAGAGTTCTCGAGAAGCCTGAATTAACCTTATGGGATTGGATGAGCCAGGACGTCAGTGTGAGGCCGTGTTTGACTTAATATACATCCAGATGGGGATGCACTAAACACAGGTATGTAGACAGGGCCTAGATATGCCAGGGGTAACCAGCACCCTTAGTACCCAAATAGTGGCTTTAAAACAATGAGAGGAGCCTGGCAGTGGGGGCACACTCCTTTAATCCCAGTAGTCAGGACGCATTGAGGCCAGCCTGGTCTAGAGAGTTCCAGGACATCCAGGGCTGTTACCCTGTTTGAAAAACAAACAAACAAACAAACAAAAAAAACAATGAGAGGAACTGTGGCTCTTGGGGAAAAAAATTGTTGATTCTGGAGCTGGAACAGAGAAGGTACAGGTTGATCCTACTTTAGCAAATTTAATTTAGTAATTTAAAAGGACAAGAACATCACAAAAGTGCACAGAAACCAACTTGAAAGGATTAGGCAACCAAACCAGTGACTTAGGGTAACATGAGACTCTTTGCTCTGCCAGAAGGAGAACTTGAAGCCTCTCAGCGTCAGGTTAGCAACAGTAAGAACAGGGGCAGGGAAGTCGGTGCCACGATGGGAAGCCCGGCAGAGTCTCAGTTGGCTACTGATGGAGGCACGCAGCCACTCTGTTACACCATGCTGACATCATGTACTTCCTGAGAGGACGTGAGGGGGACAGGGCTCACCTTTGTGAAGAACACTGGACACACCCAAATTGAGGATAGAAGCGGGATAACTAACTAACACTCCTCAAACTCGGCAAGGGCAGACGGAGAAGCTGCCAGAGATGGAAGACTGCAGGACTGAGAACAAGGAGACACACAGGTAGGGTGGGGACTTGCGCAGCAGCCTTTGCACGGTGAACAAAAGCTACGCTGTGCTGTAGTAGCTGTGGTGGATTACTTGCCTTGCACTCATAAGGTCCTGGGTTTGCCCAGCACTGCAGATAAGGGAGGAGAGTTACGTTGCTAAAAGCTACTCGTAGCTCCTATTTTTGCAGATCCTGGTTAATGACTAGACCGTAATTTCTGCCCACCCTCCATCATACGGGGTCAGGGGAAGCCGTTTCTTCATTGGGGAAAGATTCTCCTTTCTCTAAAGTGTCATAGCATTAAACGAGATAATACACAATGGGGGTCCATGTATGTGCACTGTGGGCCGCTTCCTAGAACACTTTCTAGTTTCTGACATCCATCATGTCTCTTTGGCTGTATTCCTGTCTCAGGTCCAGGACTGCAATCTTCTGGGAGCCCGTTCCACTCCTCTTACGGCTGATCCCCTGACCCCCTGGTTTTTTGTAAAGCCTACGAGGAACATTTAAGGACTTCTGGCAGCTGGTAACATCACTGGAAATCATTTTGAAGCATCCTCAAGTCGGGTATTATTGACAAAGAACACACATTTTTATGTCACAATTTAATATATTTAGATCGCTTTAGGAAACGTCAGAGTGTCACAGAGTAACCGTGGATACAAACACATGGGTTGCTATAACAGTCTTGGTCAGCGTTCTTATGAGGTAGGCATTATTATTCTCCCTGGATAGCTGAGAAAACGAGGGAGCACATAAGCGAAGTGACTTCCTGTTATCGCACACAGCGTTAGCCAGCAGGCTAGCATTTCACCTCTGCTCTACCGGAATGCAAAGACACAGCATCTCTAGACCTCCCTTGTGTTAAAAAAGCTCACAAGGGTTCTGGGTTGTTATTTAAGCTTGTGGTACATTTTCTTAGTCGTCACCCCGTTTCCAGGCATCAGTGTCTCCCCCACATGGCTCAGGCACACGCTCCGCAGGGTTTCCGTCAGGTGTGTCCTTCCATCCCACGTGCTTCTTTAGTTCTGACACCCAGTCAGGGTTTTCATCGTCTTCCTCAAAGTCCCTGTGGAGATGGTTTGGATGATAAGACACTGTATTAGACTTCTTGATGGGTTCAAAGCAGAATTCTACCATGTGCTATCTAAACCGTTGAAAGCTCAATCCCATAAGGTAATTGAGCAGAGGGGAAAAATGTTAGTTCCCCCCAAAATGTATCCCTGTGGGTATTTTTAACATTAAAAAATGTATTATAAAATGAATATATATATTTTCACACTCATATAATCCCAACACCTGAAAGCAGGTGCAGGAGGAGCCTAAGTGCCTCAAAATTCAGAAACAGAAACAAGTCCGGACTGAAAACATACTACGTGCAGCCCGGAAGTCACAGTAAAATGTCAGTGTTGCCCACCACACAGGAGCAAAGAGAAGTGCTCCTTCAGGATGGAAAGCAGTATAGCTAGGACTACATCTGAAATTACTGTGGTACAATGCGGCGTGTGTGTGCATACAGGCTCCATTCCCCAGCTACAGCATTCTAGGCCTGTTACGACGTACGTGTCTTCCTCGTCCAGTCGAGGTTCAAATCTCTCCGGATCCAGAATGAAGGATTCATGGTCACCATCGACACTGTCTGATGCTGTTTCTTCAGAAAGAGGGCCTTTCAAGAATCCTTCTGTACCTTCAGGGAAATAGCAATAGAAAGTATGACAGTTTTCCTGTTTATTTTTAAATGCGGTCTCACCCTGTTGCCCAGGCTGGACTCGATCTCCTAGGCTGCTCTTCGTCAGTCTCCCATATGTTAGGACGACAGAGCAGAGCCATAGTGCCTGGGGAAGCCAGCCAACTCAAACAGTATTTACTCATCAGGATTTGGGTAGACAGTAGATTCAGGAAGTAGCAGAATGTGGATTAAATTTTAAAACAATACTTTCTCGAAGAGAGCGGAGAAAAATACTCTAAACACTTGTGAAAAAAGAATCTATAGTAAAGTCTGAGCAATTTGAGGAGATCCTGTCACAAATAATAAAAAGGTCTAAAGAGTTAGCTCAGGGCCTTGTGCATGCTACACAGAGCACACCACTGCTGGGCTAGACACCAGTCCTCTTTTTCATTTTAATCATCTATATATTCGCCACTCAATAAACATCCATCAAATAAACAAACATAACGAACTCTCTTGCAACATCGTCTTTCCTGCACCAGTTTTACAAATCACGGGGAGTTGAGGAGGAAGGAATGGGGCTCTGATTTAATGTGTGCAGCTCCAGCTTTGCAAAGAAACAGAATCTGGAGCTGGCTACATAAGAACATGCATCAGTGTAAAACTACTCAACTGGACACGCAGGGAGAGGGAAGATGAGGGGCAGCTGAAGACACTTGCTGCTCTTCCAGAGGACCTGAGTTTGCTTCCCAGCACCTACATGGTGACTCACAACGGCCTATTACTCCCAGATCCAGGGATCTGATCCCCCCCCCAACTTCTGGGCTCCCGGGCACCTGCACACATGTACTGTACATTCACACAGACAATGGACAACACAAATAAAAATAAATCTTTAAAGAATTATTAACATGGTCAATTTATTCATGTTTTACAGTATATTTTAAAAGCCCAAGTGTCCTCATAGTCATATAATAGGTGAACATTACCTGGTCTATATATTGTGTACGTTTCGAACGCCAGGCTGAGATCAGCACTCTTCAGCATTGACAGCAAGGTCTCGGGGGGCTCTTTGAGCCACTGCTGACGGGCACGGTTTTCACTGTACTTTATTACAGAGCCACCTGGTTGTAAGGAGGGACATAGGACCAGGTTAAAAAAAACGAATTTCCAGTGTCTATCATATTTCAAGCAAAGTTATGACTATATTTGATGCTCACTGAAAATCCAGTACACTCACTACATGAGGAACCCCGAATGTCAGCTGCAGAGAGATATAAACTAAAACCCTAGCATGGTGAATCCTACTGGAGAGTGTTCGGTCTGACTTTCCCTGTATATCCTGGGCTCCAAATTTTTGGATCTTAAGATATTTTTTAAAAGTTAAGTCTGGAGCTGGAGAGATGGCCCAGTTGTTAAGAGCACACATTGCTCAATTATGAGGACCAGAGTTCAGATCCTGGCACCCACAATGGAAAGCACACAAATGCCTGTCACTCCAGCTCCAAGGGATCTGACACCCTCTTCTGGCTCCATACATATATGCACATATAGTCACACACATGCGCGCGCGCGCACACACACACACACACAATATCAATTAAAATTAAAAAATAAAAGCTAAGTCTGTGTTGAACATATTCACATATGCACATAATCAGTGCAGTGTGGCAACTATTTACACAGTATTTATGAACACATGGTCTAGAGGTTAACGTATACAGGAGGACGTGGGCATTGGATGCCTTTTCCATGAGGCACCTGAGCACGCATGAACTTTGGTATCTGAAACCAGACCCCAAGGGACGATAATGGTGCTAACCTCTGTCATCCTCGGCCGTGAAACTGGAGGTAAGGATGGGTGCCTTTTCCAAAGCTGCTAGAGCTGGACCGGGAACATGGCTCTCCCACTGCTGCCTGGGAGGGCTTCCTGGAGTGGCGTTCTTCTGCGGTGCTGACGGGCTACCTGATGCTCAAATGGGGAAGAGGAGGGTCAACAGTTTTGTTTTGTCATTCACCCGCATCTAAACTGTGCCCTAACAAGGCAGAAGTATTTCTTGTCTCTGTCCAGCTCAGAAAGTCTGCTACTCTCTGTTCACTAGGACTGACCTCCAATTAGGCTCCATTCCCCTAACAAAAGGAGACAACCCAGACTTAGAACCTCCATTAGGCTTATAAGGGGGCAGCACAGGGTGACAACGTAATCAAGTCCTGGTCTGCCATTAAGTCCTCTGTGCTCTTAGCAGGAAAAGCAGAATTCTGCCAGGTGGGCAGGATGACCCTGGGTAACAACAATTCAGACAATTCAGAAAGAACAATAGTGGTGTATTTAAATTCTTCTGGCAATATCTTTGCTGTGTCAGTCTCCCATCTGCCCGAGTGGCCAGACACGAAGTCTCCTGTCTCTGTTTAAACCGTTCGAGTGTGACCTGAGGCTGGGACTCCAAAGAGAGTATGTGGAACGTATAGATCAAAGCTGGTACCATTTCCCCTTTGAGGCCGGGTCCTTTTCATGCATCACCCAAACCAGCCACGGACCATTACTAATTAACTTAATTAATCCAATTAACCTAAGTGTGTGGTGATTTCTCACTGGGAAAACATACTATTTCTTCAACAGTATAGGATCTGAAGGAAACTCTGTTTAAAGAAGCAAAAAAATTGAAAATTACTGTTTTTGGTTTTTTGGTTTTTGGTTTTTTTTTGGGAGACAGGGTTTCTCTGCATAACAACTGTGGCTGTCCTGGAACTCGCTCTGTAGACCAAGCTGGCCTCAAACTGCCTGTCTCTGCCTCCTGAGTGCTGGGATTAAAGGTGTGCGCCACCACCACCCGGTGGAAATTATATTTTCTTTTTTTTAAATGATACTTTTAAAAACACACTTGAAAAATTCTTACCTTCTTTTTTTGGTTTCTTGGGCTCAGATAGTTTGGTTTCATCCAGTATCTGCTCTCCATATTCTCTGATGATCTGAGATTTAAAGATGAGCATTTAAAGATGTGAAAAACACTTTTCTATGCCCCAAGACTCCTGTCTTAGCCCACACAGCAGGGATTACTCGCCAGCATACCCAGGCCCAGCTAAAGAAAGACACTTTGCTTTGGACACCACCATAAGGTCATATACTTATAGTGCTCTTCAACACAAGAGCACTTAAAGTTGGAAAATAAGGATGCCACGTAAAAGCAAACGTAAGGAGAGGAGTATCATCCTGGATACTTGGGGGGCTAAGGCAGGCCTGCCAATGTGAGGCCAGTGTCGCCCCAAAACCACAGTCCAAACTTGATCCTTAGCAAGGAAAGAAAGGTGGGGTGTCAAATAACGTTATGATATAATTATATTATAATATATAATATATAATATATGATATATATAATATATATAATATATTATATATAATATAATATAACAGTGAGACAAACACAGACAGCTATGATGATCACTAGACTCTGCCCACCGCAAGTGAAGCCCCAGGCTCAACCCCAGTGCAGGAGAGTGTTGCAGCTACTAGAGCGAGCTGTGGAAGGGGAAGAGAGAAAAGAGGTTTACATTTTAAATACACCTCCGAATTACGTGAGTCTTTACAGGCATGTTTGAGTAAATTAAGCTTAAGAGATACAAGTTTAGGGCCAGTGAGATGGCGCAACGGTTAAAAGCACCTGCTGCCAAGCCTGATAACCCGAGTTTGTCACTGGACCCGTTAAAAGATGAAAGGAGAGAGCCGAGATGTCCTGCGACATCTCCATGAACACCACTGTACGCCCATGCCCACTGCCAGATAAGTTAAAAACACATGCTACCACGCTAGAGCCAATGAGAGACACTCCTGTCATACCTCCCGGGGTAAGCACTTCGGGACAAGCGGCACTAAACTGCCTCT